CAAGCTCAGTGCAATTTTTGTGGATGGGGTCGATTGGCTTGCCGGGGAATGTATCTATATTAATACACCCCCATTCTTCGGAAAGGGTATAATCCCGGCGACTTGCTTTTGTTTCGCCACTTCCATACTCATATTTGTTTCAAACACAAAACAGTTGACGTTCACACGAGAGTGTGGCAAAGATACTCGCAGAACACCCCTACCTCAGGCCGCGATGATTAAATCAAATGTTCAAGTCAAGAGCAAACCGGCTCTGTTAAATAATAAACAAAAACAACGCCACCCAGCCATTGTTTTGTGCCTTTAATAAAAGTAAAAATATAGTTACTGATCACTATCAACGCTCCCATCCACATGAAGTCACCGCAAAAGCTCTGAATACATAATATATCATCCAGATTGCACAGTACTCGTGATTAGTTTGATAAGCAGGTGAAATGGCTTTCTTTCGACTTTCCACTCAGTGCAATGTCAATCAAAAATGTTTTAATATTCGCCGTGTGACGTAATTAAGACTTTTTTCTTCACAGTATAACAAAAATAGCCAAGAATCGCTGCAGTTTCTGTCACCTATTTTGCATTTGCTTTTGCAATTACCACAAAAAAAAGAAGAAACGCTGCCAGCTGAGCGGCATTTTCGTTTCTCATTTGCATTTTCCACTGCAATTGATTTTCCCCCTCTCATTCAAACAGTTTTCTTTTCTTAGTCTCTTGGGCTGTGTCTATTGGGGGCGTGTGCTAGTTTTCAAAAACATTTTTTTTTCTTACTTTTTGGTCTCAAAAACTGTTTAACGAAAAGCTTTAAAAACTCTGCTAATTGTTAAGGTTTCCGCTTCGAGTTGGACAAAATTGAATCAATTACCGAATATTTGAGCCATATTTGTAAGGCATTTTGGCCGCGCCTCGGTCACAGCAATTCAAGCAAGACGAATGGTTGATTTTTGTGACTTTGGGATACGCATGGCTCCCCGCACGCATATGGTCTTTATGATTAATTAATTATTCAGTAAAATCGATTTACTTTAAAGCTTGATTTGTGAATAGATTTCTTCTAAAACCCCTATCTAACGACTGGGATGATATAGATTCAAAAAAATAACCCTTTTCTTTGTATGCATCCAAAGTAAGGTGCAACAATTAGCATTCAGATGGCGCACAATAAGCGTTCATTAAGTTGTTATTGTGCTTCCCCAGTTGGCATATTAATGCAATGTGTATCTGATGGATGCATCTCAACGTTAAGGCCAGGAATGCGGCACAGTTTCGGCTTCATTAATTAATTACAAAATTAAAAGTTTGATCAATAAAGTTTGCGACTAAAATTAATAAAGCGTTGAATATCCGTTGGGCTTAAGGACTCAAGGAGCCAAGGGGAGTGGGTGCTGCTGCAGAACTCAGCATGGGGTGTTGCCTTAATTGTTTTCCCCCAAACAAAGTGTCGTGTGGCACGCGACACGCAAATCCCTCTTAGTACGTGCTACCCTTTAATTAAAGCCAACAAAAGAGTTGTCAAATGGCTTCAGCGCAACTACCAACTTGCCAATTCCAGTTCAATAAACTCCATGGGACCTGCTTTGATTTGGATTTCGATGCACTCGATTTTACTCGATTTTTCACGATTTTATGGAGAAATGTATCTATGCACTTTCGCCCGCTAAATGCTCGGGGAGTCTTCCGAGCCGTTCAGGTGGGTTACCCAATCCCAATTCCAATCCCAAAGTTATGGTCTCTTTGGACAAACGCCGCATAATTTGTGGTTCTGGTCGGGCCGAGTCCATATTTGTTGGTGGCATCACCCGTTTTGGAGGGGCATGTTCGTGCGTGCGGCTACCGTCGCACAGACAATTGCCACATTTTGTGGCAGCCAATCAATAATCGAAGTGCGTCAAAAATACAAATGTTCGAGTTACCAAACCCCATACCAAAAATGGATAATATATACATGAGTTCCTTGTCAATAAAGCCATAAATTTTACTCCTGATTAATTGATAAGTGAAACTGAATACATAAAACCATGTTTTATTTTTCATTTTCCCATTTTAACCTCGTTTTAAGACCCTCTTTTTTGAAAGAGTTAAAGGGTGTGTTTTGTACACCCATCGCACCTTGCTCAATGAGCTTTGTCTAAAATTCTACACTTCAGCTCAACTGTGATTCATCTTTTGCGCCGCAGGACTTTGGGTCCGAAACACATGCGCAGTCCAGGCGGCAGCAACCACATGAGGAATTCCTCCCTCACAGGAATTCCTCCGCCGGATAGAATAATCAATGAGCGAAACGTAGTCACAAAATTGACCAAGGGAAGCCAACCAAAAGGAAGGCATGCCGATAGACACTACGTAAGCACAGTCCGGTTGCATCCCCCAAAAAAAAAAAGCAAAACAAACTGAAAACGAAAGCAATTCGGGGGTGGCATCACAAGCAACCCCCTTTCGGCACTTTGGCCTTGGGCTGCGTGCGTATCTGTTTCAAATGCACTTAATTTGCATAAGATTTTGCCTAATCAGCAGAATTAAAGCCAAAACACGTATTTAATTAAAGCAGATTTTGTTTATAAAATGAGCTTAAGTCAGCTGCAAGCAGGTTTTAAAAAAAGATTATTATCTTTATCATTTATTTAAGAAACAAACAATCATTAAGTAATAAGCTTTTGGTTTAAATAAATATTCAAAAACTTGGATACAGTTGCCAGACATTTGGGCCTATAAAACCAGGGCTACCAGTTGATGGGTTGGTGTCTAGGCTTAAGCCAGTGAGCAAACCTTCGGCGAAATGGCTCCAAGAAAAGCGGCGAATTGTGTTTGAAAAAAAGGCTTAAGTTTATTTAACTTAAATATGCATAATTTTAAATTAAAAATGTATTAAATAAATTCGTAATAATGTGTGGTAATTTCTTTATTAATAATACTTATTTTCTTCTTTTACAGGTATGTTAAACTACAACCAAAATTAAATTATTTAGGCTCATATTTTAATATAAATGGCTTCACAAAATGGTAAATATTTAATAGAATTTTCTTATGGATATATTGAAACCAAATAAATAGTAACCCAACCTAGGTGACCAGGCTAAAAAGTAAACCTTTCTGGTGTGTCAGACAACTCAGACAACTAACCTTGACAATCGAATTAGGGTAAAGAACCAAGTCCTGGGAACCCCAGCTCCTGGTAAACCCATCAGGGTATTTTAAGTTACCCTCATGTCGGACGGGATCGTCGCTGGTTTACTTTTATGTCTACGCATTAGAAGCACTGCTTTCTTGCGTGATGGCTGCTTGTAAATAGACAACAATTAGGGGAACCTATGACAACAACACCTGAATAATAGGAAGGCCGTAATAAATGTAATGCGGTGCGTGGCAATCGGTGCCTGTGCAGCTCCTCCTTCGGTATGGCTTGTTATTAGATTTTTATATATGTATGTACATTTTAGCAAAGGATTGCGCCAGAAACGACAGTGCACAAATGCGCGTCTAGGCTTCCCCCCAGTGCCCATTAAATTAATCAAGTCAAATGAAATCTGCATATAAAATCAACGCTACCGGGCGATGTTAGACCGTTGGCGTTATCCCTAGACCCTGTTTCGCCCCCAAGCTGTTGGCGTGTTGAATTTGCATTTTTCCCCGGCGCCCCACTAATAAATTTGTATGTCAATAGAATAAGCCAGGCAACGCCAGCGCAGCAGTCTTTGCCACAAAAATAACCTGCTCCTGCTTGGCGGCTCTTTGAACTGCGCAAGGACAATTTCTGTTTATGCGCCCCGAGAAGTTTACGAGCGGCTCCGCCACCAACGAAAGTCCAACTTTAGCGGGCCTGGGGGTATTGGGGCATGGGGCGGCGTATCAAAACAAATTCTAAGTATTGTAATTCGAAATTTTTCAAAGCAAATAAAAGCAGTCGAGTTTTAACACTCGCGCCAAACAGTCAGATCAGTCAGAGCTGACGTCGCGGCGCGATATTAGTCAGCAGAGTATTATCTCTTAAATATATATTCACTAAATTAATAAAATATATAAAAAACCTATTTCGAAATACTGAAGAATTGGACTAAAAAATATAACAAAATATATATTTTGTCAACTTGAACGATAAACAAAACAAAGTGTGTAACTGGTTTGTTAAGAAAACTCCTTACTTTCGTATTTCAAGTCGTATCCTTGCGGTGAAAGGCAATTGCAAAGTGCAAAGTGCATTAGCCTTCCCCAGACTGTACGTGGCCAAGTTATTGCCCTCTGGCTAGAAAAATCGATACAGTTGCATGGGCACTTGTTTTAAAGCGAAACTGCAACAATTGATAGTGGTTGTTCCGTGATAATAATCGCTATTGCAACTGCAACAGCAACTGCAGTGCTCCTTCCTGCTTCCTGCAACAATTCAATTGCCCGAGGACAAAGTTTTGTTTAACACAACATTTTTTTTTTTATTTGCTTGGCGAACAGGAAATCTAATTGAAAAAAAGACGGCAGGAGTGCTTAGAAAACTCCCCACTTTGAGGAGGTGGGAGGCCCAGAAGTTTGTGGTTTATGTGTTGCAGCTGGAATTGCAACTGCACCTGTCGCGACTTGCCAACGATTGTTGATAATCAATTTGGCCAAGACCATTTGGCCACAAATGACAGTTGTTGTTGTCGTTGTTGCGGTTGACATGAACATTGTGTGGAATTTCGGTTTATGTCAGCCTACAAGGGGAAACAAATCATTGTGGCCCTAATTTGCAGTTGCTTGCCAGGCTTCTTTTTTTTTATTTTATTTGTATTTTTTCCACTGTTGTTGGCACTTTTTTGCCCTTCCTTGGGCTTCTTTGCCGCCGCCAGTCAGTCAGGAAGTTGGCAAATCCGACTCTGACTCGGCACAACTTGTAGTTTGGTCTTTAGTTGCTTTAGTAGACTCGGGTGTTGCACGTGCTTATGCCCCAATTGCCGCAAAAAGGCAGAACTTTAAAGAGTTTTGTGCAATTATATCGATTCCCCTGTCAAATGTAACACACACCTCACAACTAAATGCGAAAGTTTTTGGTTTTCTCTCTTCTGGGTAAAAAAAAAGAGCATAAAGTTAATTGCCAGGCAGTGCCTAGAACCAGTCGAGACTTAAATTCGAGCAGTAGTCCCAGCACATTGCCTCTGATATGAGCGATACCGATGCGGTGAGTACACACATCCTGGCTACATCCTCGCCCATTGGAGCTGCACTAAAAATCCAATCAAATTGCTTATGCACAATGCCACAGATTTACGAGCCTGTCAGCAAGCATAATTTGAATAAAACAGAAATATTAATGGCTGTATTATACCGGCGACCTTGCATACATCATTTGTCGACCGCAGGACATGTCATCCATCCATTGACGGTGGAAACCCTTTGCGAAACAACAAATCAAACAGCGATTTCGTCTCGTTTTCGAACGACTCGAACTTTGCATTTGCATTTGCGGCTTTCCCATTGGTTCTTCTGTCGATTTTGGGGGCTTAGAACTGCCAAACTGAAACTTTTGTTGAATCAATAAGCCACAAAAACAATTTGGGTCATGTTACAACTGGCAACCGAATTTCATGACAAAATTCCCTAATGGTAACCAAAGCCCAAAGTATGCCAGCCAGCCAGCCAGGCCGACAGCGAGGCGAGGCGATAGCCCAGAAACCGAAGCGCAAAATACCAAAACAATAAAATGTAAACAAATGCAGAAAGAGCCATCAAATTTGAAAGCACCCACTCAATGAGAAATATATTGATACCTTCGTCTGCACCAGCACACTGGCACCCTAGTAGCACACTACCATACACAGTCATACACCCACAGAAACCCACGCGAAACCTTTGGCAATATATGACCATACATATGCAAATGATATGGGCCACTTGGCGGGCCAGGAGCTGGCGGGGATATGTGTGGCATTGGCCGCCAGTTGTGGCGCCGGAGCCCTGCCGGGTATTGGGTTACCCGACACTTGCACATTTCTGCACCGACACCGCAGGCGATAAGTCCTAGTCCCAGGATGTACGGCACTGCGAAGGAGCGCTCTCAAGCGGAGTACGCTAGTGTTAACGAAAACTCTGGCCAGGACTATGGCCAGCGCCAAAGTTACGAGCAGCCACGACAGATCTCCGACTCCGCAGTAGATCGTCCAAAACAAGAGCCAAGATCTATTTCTTACGAACCGGATGCTGTGTCCTTTGAACGTCCTAAGCCTCAGTTAAGATCTCAGCTTACATCTGACTATCTTTACGGCACCAATTCGACTGCAGATCGTCCTGTTTATGAAGCACCAGAGTCATCTAAACAGCAGCAGCTTCCTAACAGCTCCCAGCAACAGCAGCCACTGCGAACTCAGCAGATTGGAGACTATCTTCCATCAAGTGGAACTTTAGATCGTCCTTTGTACGAGGAACGAGCTCGGCAACCGCCTAGACAGCCGCTGCAGCCCACCGCTTATAATGCACCACCGCCTACAGAACGCACCAATCCACCCAAAACCACAACCACGACTCCCAATCTTAAGCTCCAAACGAAGCCCAATCCAGAGTATGTACGACCACCTCAGAACTATGTCTTGCCACCGCAGATGCGTCCACCTGGTGTGGGGCCGCCGCAGCCACAACCGCGTCCCCCATTCGCCGGAGCTCGTCCCATGGTTGGCATGGGTCCACGTCCGCCGATGCCACCCAACATGGCACCCCGGCCGGGTCAGATGCCACCTCCTTTGCGGAGCACGGATAGCAAGAGCAACCTGCTAATGGGTCCACCGATGAGACCGGGAATGCCAACACCGCAACTCAGTCAGCAGAATCTGCAGCAGGCCCGGCTGCCCAATTCCGGTGGCCCCCTCAGTCCACCCGGACAAGGTCCCCCTCGACCGCCCGGAGGCTTCAATTGGAATCCCCCGGCTGGAGCACCTGGCATGCCACCGGGAGCCAGACCTCCACAGAACATGACGCGACCGCCGCCACCAACATTTGCCCGCCCTCCGCCGGGTCAGCCACTGCAGGCGCCATTCCGACCGCCCTTCAATCAGCAACCGCCCATGCCACAGCAGCAGCAACAGCCGCCACAAATGCAGCAGCAACACATGCAACAGCAGCAACAGCCACCGCAACTACTACGCCCACTTTCAGCGGCGGGCTCCCACAGCAACAACAATGACGACGACGATGACGTGATCATGGGCCCGGCAGTGACTCCTCTCAAGTCATTCAATATGAAGGCCGATCCCATGGGCTCCCCGTTGCTGGAGGAGACGGAGCCACCATTCGAGACGAGCCCCCCGGCGGTAGACTCCAGGAAGGGGCCGGGTTTCAGTAAGATTTGAGAAACATTTTCCAATATTTTACCAAAAGTGAAGCCATTTATAATTTAGGGTTTATTCAGATATAGTGTTGAGTTTTTATTATTTGCATAGATTTTAATTTACCATATAAAATTTATACAATTTTCAGTTTATTAAAATTTGTTATCAACTCATTACAGAAGGCGACAATGACAGCGGTGTGGATGAATCAACTCAGGAGAAGGTGAGTGCCAGCCAAGATTGTACATAAACCAGTTAACTTTTTGGCCATAAATGTGACTTCGGTTGTGTCTTCGTTAATTGAGAGGATATTAACTGGAACTGGCAACTACAAATTAATTTAATTCCGTTGACCGTCTCTGTCTGTCTGGGTTCACAAATCATAAATATCTGTAAAAGGCGGGCCAGTCAGCGGGTGAGCAGCGAGCTGCAAGATACAAGCTACAAGCTCCACGCTCCATTAGCGACCATATACATAGATATGGCAGAGCCGACTTTTGTCGGCGACAGTTCCGTAGCTCAGTTCAAAAAAAGTTGGCCCGTGTTCGTGTGCAGACGCCAAAGTTCAGACTAAGTTTTGTCTTGGCAGACGGCAGTTGGCGAGTCGGAAAAACCCGCAGAAAAGTGCGACAAAAAGTCGAACAAACAATATATACCTATATCTATCTTTGCAATACGGAGTATAATATATATGCCGAACGTGAGCTTCACAGGTGCGAGGTGGAAACTCCGAATAAAAAACACACAAAAAACGAAGAAATATGTATTGCCAAACCAAGAAACGATTTATTTCCCTGGTGATATCTGTGCCTAGATAAGTGCCAAACACGAAACGGGTCGAGGATTCATTTGGGTTGGGGGCCTGTTTGGGGGAAGGGCCTGGCACACACTTGTATATGTATGATTCCGCACTGGAGTTGTTGTCTCTATAAATACCCATCCATATGCAAAAACGACACGAAGTGGCGACAATCGATAAAACAATGCATAAACTACACAAGTCCTTCGTACCGACATCGACATCGACAGCGACAACGGCAGGCGAATGGCCAGATCCGGAGGCAGTCATAAATGCCAATGGCATTACGTTGACAGCTCCTGCTCCGGCCAGCCTGGGAGTGTTGAGAGCAGTCGTAAATGGTTAATAATAAACGCGTACTCCGTGCCAGCCCCAAGATGCATCTCGTCATCATGGCCGATTCGACCTACTTGCTAGTAATTAGTGAAGGCAGAGTCCCATGTGTCATTCCGCTTTGTAAAATGAACTTTTTGCTCTTTTGTGTCCCAGGATCGAAACGGACCCATCTCGCCCAGCTCACCGGTGAAGACTCCCACATCGACCTCATCGAAGCCGGACAAGTCGGGCACCTCGCGTCCCCCGAGTGCCACGCCCTCGAACAAATCGGCTCCCAAGTCGCGCAGCGCCTCCAAGAATCGCTTGCTCCTCAAGACTCCAGAGCCCGAGCCAGTCAAGAAAGGTGAGTTCCTCTAAAAGCCAAAAAAATGAATAAAAAAAGGAATTGTTCGAATAATACATCCCACATAACACTACCTCTTCCAGTTCCAATGAACAAGGTACAGGTTGGACATGCACCTTCGCCCAATCTGAAGGCTGTTCGCTCCAAAATTGGATCTTTGGATAATGCCACCTACAAGCCAGGTGGTGGCCATGTGAAAATCGAGTCCAAGAAGCTGGACATCAAGGCAGCACCACGCATCGAGGCCAAGAACGACAAGTATGCCCCCAAGGGCGGTGAGAAGAAGGTATGTTTTTCGGGGGTTCCAACGAATTCGATTCTAGGGTCTTTATCTTCTGTGGGGCGGGACCGGTGTATCCATTTCTGGCAATATTGTCAGGACATAGTAATTCTCTTTCATAAATCTTTGTAAATTTATCTCATCTACAAATGGCTTTTACTTATATTACTTAAAACTGAGAAAAGCTCTCCAAACCAATAAACAAGCGTAAAGTATAGTCGAGTAACGTAAAGTAAAATATTGGCAAAATCAAAATCAATTTCACGGTCGATTTGCGATTTGAGATTTGATGTATATTGCGCCCATTTTAGATTGGCAATCGGCAGCACGGTATCTTGTATCTTGTATCTCGTATCTTGTTGTAGGAAATGCAATTACCAATTCGAAGCGACACTTAGCAGCATAATTCCGTTGCCTTATGTAGCGTATGCCATTTAATGCCCATAACCGAAACCCGAATCCGTATCCGCATCTGCATCCGCGCCGGATATTTCAGAGCTGGGTGGCACCCTCTGACATTGAAAGCGGGAAGTATGCATTGCCGGATGTTCGTTCGATCAATATTTGATTTTCGGTTCTAATCGTTTACTACCTTGTATCTATTTACAATATACGAACATCGACTCCTGCACCCGACACTCGCTCCACCACCACCGTCCACCACTTCACCACCAAAACAAAATCCAAAATCAAATCAAAAAACAAAAATCCACTGCAAATCCGTAGATAGTTTCAACAAAGTTGCAGTGGAATGCGAAGTCGAAAATCGGTTCGCTGGAGAATGCCGCCCACAAGCCCGGGGGCGGCGACAAGAAGATCGAGACCCTGAAGATGGACTTTAAGGACAAGGCCAAGTCAAAGGTCGGCTCCAAGGACAACGTGCAACATAAGCCCGGCGGCGGTGATATCAAGGTATGCAGTCACCTCTCTCCCATGACCTCAAACCCCCCGAATCGATTTCATGTTTGAGTTTGACCCAGAGACCCGAACGAGTACCTATTGATTTTTGTAGCGGTTAAGTATGATTTCCGATTGCTGTTGGCTTTTGTTGGTTTTTGGATGCTCTATTCTCGTTTTGTTCAAGTTTTCAAAACCCTCCAGCAACCAGCAACAAAAATAACTGGCATGGGCATGGGCATTCTATAACTATTTCTTTTCCATCGGTGCATGAGCTGCAATGTTCTTTTAGTTGAAAAATAAAAAAAAGCATGCTGCAAAGTTAAATTTCATGGAAAAACTAGAGACTAACACCCAGAACACTCGCATAAAAACTCTTTTAACAAACAACTTTACAGAACTTTGGTAGAAAGATGAACATCATTTATGGCGAGGGTTCCAAAATTGTCAACCAATGCGCCAATAACAAGCGCCTGGATGAGAATTTGTATAATGAGGAGGAGTAGTGACTTAGTGGGGTAGGTAACACCCAAGAGATGTAAATATACCTGCAACTTGGTGCTAAAAAAAAACACATAGTCTAGTTTTTGGGGCTCAGATTAGCAAGAAAGCCATTTTGTTTCAGTTCCTAACCCATCCAAAACAAAACTACTGTAAACAATTGAGAATAACTTATTATTTTTCCATCTTTATTTTTGAATGATATTTTGGAAACTATATTTTGTTTTTAACTAAACCATTTAACAAACAAATTCAAGGATAACAACCCGAAGGATGTAAGTAGTCGTGATAACTCTTTTGATTCAAAAAATATCTGTTTGTCTGCATTCTGAGTGTGCTTTTGTATGATACCTTAGATGCATTATAGTGTTGTATTTTATCTACTTCCTTTTTGTATTTTGAATCACCTAAACAACGCACTTTTTGAGATTCCCCAAGGCACAACACCCTCCCTTAGAATATCTAGTGTACTTTGTGTGTATCCCAACCTATGGTGTATTCCAATTTTGTGTTCTGTACTCTGCTGTTCCTGTGTATGAAAACCTCCAAATTTCAGTTTCGTCCTCGATTGGCTGTTGTCGTGTGTCCATAACCCACCTGCAAAAAAAAAACAACCATTAAGTTTTGTGGAAAAGTCGAAACCCCAGTCGAAATTTCCCATTGCCTGAAGTCTGAAGCGAGATTTTTCTAATCATTTTCTGTACGTTGCCGGTGCCGGTGCTACTTTTCAGATTCAAACGCAAAAACTAGAAATTAAGGCACAAAGCAAAGTTGGCTCTTTGGATAATGTAAAGCACAAGCCCGGTGGCGGTGAAAAGAAGATTTTCGATGATAAGGATTATTTGAAAAATGTTGAACACTCTGTTGCACTGACAACACCACCAACACAGGTAAACTACGTGTACATAAGCTCAAGTAGTTACGGATAAATAATAGTACTTAACTTTAACCCTGATTTAATAGATTTATTTTTCATTTTTTTACGAAAGCAACAAAAAGTATTAAGCAAAAAAAAAAAATATATAAATATTATCGATATCCCATTTTGTGTTTACGTCGAGAAATTCATTTTTGTGTAATCAGTATTTGTAATTAATTGCGTTGCATTTGTGGTTAACACTTTATGGTTTACAATCAAGCCACTAACAGAGCACCATCACACACCCACCCACCATCCGAAAATGATAAACACCGCACCACCCACCCACTGACACCACCTCCTAACCCGAACCGCTTTCAGAGAACTCTCCTTACCATCAAAAGATCAATCCGTTCATGCGCAATTGTAAATGATGAGAAATAACATTTTGGACAAAGTATTTTTGGCACTTTTAGGTCTCGAAATGTACCCGAAAGGAGGGCATTTGGTAATATTATTGTTTCTTTCAAAATTTCTTCTTTTCTTTGATTTTTTATAGTTTAGTTTTTTTACATTTACGTTACATTTAAAAATGAATTTCTTTCAAACTCAAACTGAGATTCATTGGCGATGACCAAATTGGTAGAAAAGCGCTTTCCATACCAGAAGTGTTAACGTTTTTACACACAATTCTCTAAACTATAATCTTCTCTTTCTTCCCCAATCGCTCTCTCTCTCTTTCTCGCTAACTGTAGTTTGCGGCGCAAGGGCGCTTGATTGCCACGATCCATCTAGAATTCGGTCTCTGTAAACCAGACTGTGTGTGTAACAGTATATTTGAGTCGCTTTTTAAATGAACTCCCTAGCTTTAGATAAATTATCGATAAACCAACAAACAAGAATTACTGAGACAACTACTGTACTGTACCTAAAGCCAAATACGAGTATTAAACTGTTTCAGGACTAAAACACAACTAAATGAAACTAAACACAACTGAACTCTACTAGAAAAGCTCAACTAGAAAATCTCGAATGAGTTTGCAAGAGTTTCTATTTTAAATTGTATATTAAACCGACATAGTATATATATTTATGCATAGTCCAATAAGATACGATTATCCTTGGAGTGTGTATAGATGATGTGAGCTGTCCTGTCCTTGGGAGGATCACCTGTAGTATTAAGTTCAATGGAAGACAGGCCTCCGCCCAGGGGCAAGGACAGCATAGGCCATGAGGCTCAATGTTTGTTAATTCCTTTTAGTATGTAGTCCCTTAATGAAAATTTATTTAGTTGAAACAGTCGAAGAAATTTATATTATATAGGATAGTACAAATTTTGAACAATATACCGATCCACAATTGCTCAAAGAACCCCCGAATCCCAGACAATGACCCTGAGGACGGTTTAGGAAAAGGCTGCCCAGCATTTATATCATCTAACAAAAGTGCTTTGCTCTCATACATACTACACCGGCTCATAATACAATAAAACCCATTCAAACATTGACCTCAAAACACTCACATCAGTTTTAAATTAACATAAATTATGAATTTTTATGTGTATTCTTCATTTCTGTGCTTAATATTTTTGTTTCGTTTATTATAGGAATATATATACACGTTTTATTAGGCTAGTCATACGAAACTAAGTGCATTAAATTCGAAATTCGTACACTGTTACGTCCATTAGAGTTATTTATCGCCTACTGCTATTACAACTACTATGTACGATGCGATTTTAAAAAAAATGACAAATAGAAACATTCGATCCGATCCGATCCGATACAATTCGATTCGATTTGATTCGATCAAGTAAAACCCCGTAAGTTAATGTGCGTTGCGAGTTCTTCTAAGATGTGTCCGTTGCGTATATAGATAGTTATATGAACCTAAATATTTAACAGTGCTGTGATAGACTAACCGAACCGTTAGTACCGATCCAAGCTGATTTGCCAGACCACCTGCACCCCATACCATACCATACCAACTATCGTACTACATTTTATATACGATCCTTAAGCGGTTTCAGGTGCAAAGTTGCTTGCAACATTATGTATGCCCCAGACTTTTATTCATTCCAAATCCAAATCCCGAAATTCATGATTTTAACAAGGCTTATGGTTTATTTATTTGTGAAACTTATTTTATAATTTTGTGCAATCGATACGCATTCACGTTTATATTTTTATCTTGAACGCAGAGTCCACTACCATCCATGACGGCTTCTGGCGCTGATGAAAATTTAAATCAACAAAGCTAAATGCCCGAATTGCATGTCGAGCTGAAAATCTGAATCTTTTCTTTGCTAAAAATATAGGATTGAAATGTGAAATGATTATTGAACATTGAACCAGCTAATTTGAAATGTACTATCTAAGCAAAAGCTACACAAAGCAAAAACCAAACGAAAGTTACGCAATAATTTCCACACCCCCACACACAAATAAGATATAAAATTGAACAAAAAAAAAACCAATCCGATAGAGGTGCAAGCACGCAATGAGATGCAGATACATCTATTTTACACCACATACGTATTTGGTTTGAAAATCAAAAGTATATTTGACTAGTTGAGCAATGCACTCTTTATCATACAGATACCAGACATAATTATATATCTCAATGTATTACAAGAACTTCATATATACATACAAATATATATATATATAGTGACATATCCATAGCATTATACATAAACTATGTAAATGTCCACACACCCACACACTCACACATACACATTAAGTATTTGTCAGAACTTACCCTTGAGACTTAGATTCAAATAGGCAAATGCACCGAACATGATCCTAGCCCAAATCAGACCTAAACATAATTGAGGATGGAAAAGTACTTATAAACAAAAATCCTCAGACTAAACAGACCGAGGGAAACATGCATTCAGCACGTTCCCATAATTCAGATCCCCAAACCCAATCGTAAAACTCAAATTTCGGGACCAAAGACAAAAACAAATTCAAAAGCAAGAATCCAAAGTCCAATCGGGAAAGTTCTCAGCCTAAACAATAAAACACACTCAATTAGAATAAACACACTCAAGTAAAGCTCGAAAGCTCCAAAACCGAGGTTTGATCGTAAAAGAAGTCAGAGTTAGGAGTGAAGTTCAGTTTAAGATCTACAAGTAGTAGGTTGGTGTTCTTCAAATAAAGAATATTTGTAACCAGTTGGACATAAGAAAAATAAAGATAATTTTTTTTTATTGAAAACTTATGGTGCAAACATTTAATTGGCGCAGTCGGTAGGATTTCTAAAAAGGTCCTTACACCAAGTTATCGGTACTGATCAACAAAGAAGGATAATACTATACGACTAGTTTATCCTGATCAGCGAAAGTGACTAAAAGAAATCCGCAAAAGAATTTATGTGCAGTGCGACTGTATATAAAGACAATTAATTAAAAATCCAATTCGGTCAATAACTCCACGAATTTTCGTGCGACAATATTGCAATACAAAAACTTCAAAAGCGATAAAAATGGCGACACCACAGTTATCCGAGATCCATCTCAATCAATTGATTGGACAAATCAAGGAACTGCCTTATTTCGACGGCAACCCAATAGAGCTCAGCCGATTCATTACACGGGTCGAGTATCTGTTGCAGTTATACCCAACACAGGATGTGAGGCAAAACCATATCATCTACGGGGCCATCGAGAGGACCATTATTGACTCAGCACAAGCAGTCATCGCAGAAGAAAAAACCACAACATGGATGCAGACGAAACTGGCCCTGATTAAAGCATTCAAGGACCATAGGCCATACGAAGATGTCATCCGCCACGTACATCAAACACCTTACCCAGGGAGCATCAGTAAGTTCATAAACGAACTTAAAATCAGGTCATCCGTAGTTTTAAATAAGTTAGATTTAGAAATGGATCAGACAGATAAAACAATTTATACAAGTTCATTGAACAAAACAATCAGGGATTGCATTGAAAAGAAACTTCCGGACAGATTGTATAATTCACTATCGAAAAGAGATATTACAACTATTACTAACTTAAAAGAGGCAGCCATGACTCTAGGCCATTGGGATTCAGATCCATACGATAATTATAAAACCAGGTATTATGATCAACGTAGGAATTTGGGTAATTCAAGACAGAATCAAAATTACTCGAGAAATAATTCAAATCATTATCCCCGACATAACTCAAATAATTATTTGAATTATAATCCAGGATCAAGCAATCCAACAAATATTCCGAATTCACCTGCCAGAAACCAAAACCAAGGCAACTATCATGAACTCAGAAGGAATTTAAATCAAGGTAGAGCTCAGAACCCCATGAATTATCAGGCATCAACTTCTAATAATTCTCCAAATGCACCTGTTAAGAGACAGAGAGAAAGTGAAAGCGCCCAAAGTAGAATGGACGTAAATTTTCAGCAAATAGCCTCGGAAAACGAAAACAGTATCCTTATATCAGAGTAGTAGTCAAAGGTAAAACTCTCAAAGCAATGATCGATACAGGATCTTCCATTAACATCATGAGAGAAAACTCAGGAAATTTTGCAGAAACTAACGAAAATCAGAAAGTCTATACAATAAATGGACCAATTAACTTACTTAAAAGCATTACATTAAATCCCAGTAAAATTTGCCCAGTAAAACAAAAATTTTTCTTACACAAATTCTCAGAGAATTATGACATACTTATAGGCAGAGATTTTTTGAAAGAAAGTAAAGCTAAGATAGATTATGAAGATGAATCAATTACGTTAGGAGACAAAAAACTTTTCATTGAATATGGTGAAGATGATAAAGAGGGCAAGACCGCACTAAAATGCCTTAGCTCAAAATCATCCGAACAAGAAATTAAAAAGGGCAAGACCGCACCAAAATGCCTTAGCCCAAAGTCAATCGAAAAGAAAGAGGAAAAGGATGAGACCGCACAAGATTGCCTTAATCCACCTCTATCAGAAGATGACTCATTTAATTTTTCCATAAACAACGAACTTAGAGAATGCAACGAATTTCGTCTCGAACATTTAAATGAAGAGGAAAAGAAAGATTTAAAAAGGGTTTTGTTTGAATTCAAAGATATTCAGTACAAGGAAGGTGAAAATTTGACTTTTACTAGTACAATAAAACATTCAATACAAACAAAACACGAAGACCCGATATATAAAAAGCCATACAAATATGCGCAAGCTTTTGACGAAGAAGTTAATACACAAATTACTGAGATGATTAAACAAGGAATAATTCGAAAGTCGAAATCTCCTTATTGTTCACCAATCTGGATAGTCCCAAAGAAAAGCGATGCTTCAGGAAAGAAAAAATTCAGATTAGTAATAGATTATAGGAGTTTAAATGAAATCACAATAAACGATAAATTTCCGATCCCTAGAATGGATGAAATTCTAGACAAATTAGGAAAATGCCAATATTTTACAACACTCGATTTAGCCAAAGGCTTCCACCAAATTCAAATGGATGAAAATTCCATAGCAAAAACTGCATTTTCAACTAAACATGGGCATTATGAATATACCCGTATGCCATTTGGTCTTAAAAACGCCCCTGCAACTTTCCAAAGATGTATGAACAATCTCTTAGAAGATTTAATCTATAAAGATTGTTTAGTATACCTGGATGACATCATTATTTTCTCCACTTCATTGGAAGAACATATTTTGTCTCTTAAGAAAGTTTTTGGAAAATTAAGGAATGCCAATTTGAAATTACAATTGGATAAATGTGAATTCATGAAAAAGGAAACAGAATTTTTAGGTCATATCGTAACTACAAGTGGTATCAAACCTAATCCTAATAAAACCAATGCTATAACTAACTTTCCAATACCTAAGACCCCAAAACAAATAAAATCATTTTTAGGACTATGCGGCTTCTATCGCAAATTCATTCCTAATTTCGCTAATATTGTAAAACCAATGACAGTTAAATTAAAAAAAGGAGCAGTAATTGATATAAAGTGTAAAAATTACATAGAAGCATTCGAAAAATTAAAAGTACTTATTACTTCAGATCCAATACTTATTTATCCTGATTTCAGTAAAACATTTTCTTTAACAACTGATGCAAGTAATATAGCAATCGGTGCAGTGTTATCACAAAACCATAAACCCGTATGTTATGCAAGCAGAACTTTAAACGAACATGAAATCAATTATGCCACGATAGAAAAAGAATTGTTAGCAATCGTTTGGGCAACGAAATATTTCAGATCTTACTTATTCGGAAGACGTTTTGAAATACTCAGTGATCATAAACCTCTTGTTTGGCTGAATAATATCAAAGAACCAAACATGAAGTTACAGAGATGGAAAATAAAATTAAATGAATTTGATTACGAAATTAAATATTTACCCGGAAAAGAAAATTATGTAGCGGACGCTTTATCCCGAACCAAAATAGAAGAAAATATGTTAGGAGAAGTAGCCGAAAGTGTAGGCGCAACCGTACATAGTGCACAGGAAGACAACCAAAATTACATACCAATAACGGAACGACCATTCAATTATTTCCCTAGACAAATCGAATTAATAAAAGGAAATGAAGACCAAACGAACGTACAGCATTATTTTCATAAAATCAAAATCAAAATAACTTATAAAGAAATGACTGAAGACCTGGCAAAAGAAATAATTAAAGAATATTTATGTACAAAGAAAAGCGCTATTTACATGCACAATGACTCAGATTTCCCAACATTCCAGAAAGTTTTCGTAGAAATAATCAATTCTAATCATTTAACAAAATTAGTAAGATGCACAACTAAATTAGAAGATATCTTGACATACGCAGAATTCAAGGAGAAAATATTGGGAAGACATAAAGAACTATTACATCCAGGAATAGAAAAAACAATTAATTGGTTCAAAGAAAAATACTATTTCCCTGACCATCAAAACTTAATCCAGAACATTATTAACGAGTGCGAAATTTGTAACATATCTAAAACAGAACATAGAAACACAAAACTTTCTTTCGAAACCACCCCAGAAATACAAAACATCCGTGAAAAATACGTAATGGATTTTTATATAGTAGGTAATCAACAGTTTTTATCTTGTATTGACGTGTATTCAAAATTTGCTTCATTAGTAGAAATAACAAGTAAAGATTGGCTAGAAGCGAAAAGAGCAATAATGAAAGTATTTAATGAAATGGGAAAACCACAAGAAATTAAAGTAGATAAGGATTCAGCATTTATGTGTGTAGCTTTACACAACTGGTTAGATTCGGAAGGAGTAAAAATTCAGGTAACAACAAGTAAGAATGGTATATCAGACGTAGAAAGATTCCATAAGACAGTTAATGAAAAACTACGAATCATTGGAAGTGAGACAAATATTGAAAATAGGTACACTAAATTCGAGTTAATACTTTACATTTATAATCACAAAACAAAACATAATGCTACAAACAGAGTACCAGCCGATATTTTCATGTATGCAGGAACACCCGATTATGATACACAGGATAAGAAAATCAATAAGATTAATCAACTAAATAAAGACAGACATGATTATGAAATAGATACCAAATATAAGCAATCTCCGTTAGTAAAATCAAAAACAACTAACCCGTTTAAAAAGACAGGAAATATCAGACAAGTTGATGAGAAACATTTTGAAGAAACCAATAGAGGCAGGAAAATTACTCATTATAAATCTAAATTTAAAAAGAAAAAAATAATTAATAAAAGTAAATATAACAATTCCAGACAAACAGAAGAAACCTAATGGATTCAACAACCTCTATAAAATTATTATGTTTATGATTATATTAACTACTTCAATTCAAATGACGAATGGACAAAACATCGAAATAAATCCGATAAAAGCCCAAAATGGATACTTAATGTTTAAAACAGGCACGATAGACATTCCAACTAATTATGAGAATCACTTTATAAGCATAAATATTACGAAAACAGAACAAATCTTTGAGAAATTAGTAGAAGAAGCATGTGAATTCAAAGGAACATTGCAGATAGAATATTTAGTGGGAAAACTTCAACGAGAAATTAATGGTATTAAAATCGCAAAACGTAGCAAAAGAGGGTTGCTAAACATTGTAGGAACAACTTACAAATACTTATTTGGAACATTGGATCAGGATGATAAAGAAGAGTTAGAACAGAAAATCGATACACTAACTGAGAATAGTATTCAAAGTAATGATTTGAATAAGATTATTGATGTCGTAAACAATGGATTAGATTTAATCAACAAATTTAGAGACGAGGAAGAGAAAGAGCAACAGGCTAACGTCCTAATATTTAATCTACAACACTTCACAGAATACATAGAAGACATTGAGTTAGGAATGCAACTAACTAGACTTGGAATTTTTAACCCCAAACTTTTAAAACATGATAATTTAAAACAGGTGAATTCCGAGAAATTGCTTAAAATCAAAACTTCCACTTGGCTCAAAACTAATACAAATGAAATTCTGATTATGTCCCACATTCCTACCGAAATATTTAAAGCCCCTGTTTTCGAAATTATTCCCTACCCAGATGAAGACAATAACATACTAACAGAGAACACGATCAATAAGTATTTCCTACATGATGAAAAAGTATTTGATAAAGAAACAGGAAAGATTGTATTTGACGAATGTATAAATGGAATAATTAAACAAGAAAATACAGGTTGTAAATACACTAAAACTCATAAAAATTTTCAAATTGATTATATTGAACCAAATATTTTATTGACATGGAACATCCCTAAAACATTTTTAAATCAAAATTGCATTAATAAAGAAATTTCTATAAGCGGAAGTAACCTTATCAAAATCCTTAATTGTTCGGTTCAATTGAATGAATTTATCCTTTCAAATACAATGGCAGATTACACCCAAACAGTTTATGTCAGTAATAATGTAACAAAACTAGAACCGCTAGCATATATCCAAACAAAAGAAATTATAAAAACACACACAAAATATTATAATGTATTCCAAATAATAACAACAACTACTTTTATAATTACAATTATAAGTTTATCTTTGTATCTATTCTATAAGTTCAAAAGTTTACCGAAGAAACTAATTGTAAAATATGTAAAACCAAAGGAAGAAACACCAAAGATTCCAGAAATTGTAAACGATCAACCTAATATGAACATAGGAGAGCATCTCATGTTATACCCAAATCTATCGACCTGAGGACAGGCCAAATTCAAAGGTTGGGGGAGTGACATATCCATAGCATTATACATAAACTATGTAAATGTCCACACACCCACACACTCACACATACACATTAAGTATTTGTCAGAACTTACCCTTGAGACTTAGATTCAAATAGGCAAATGCACCGAACATGATCCTAGCCCAAATCAGACCTAAACATAATTGAGGATGGAAAAGTACTTATAAACAAAAATCCTCAGACTAAACAGACCGAGGGAAACATGCATTCAGCACGTTCCCATAATTCAGATCCCCAAACCCAATCGTAAAACTCAAATTTCGGGACCAAAGACAAAAACAAATTCAAAAGCAAGAATCCAAAGTCCAATCGGGAAAGTTCTCAGCCTAAACAATAAAACACACTCAATTAGAATAAACACACTCAAGTAAAGCTCGAAAGCTCCAAAACCGAGGTTTGATCGTAAAAGAAGTCAGAGTTAGGAGTGAAGTTCAGTTTAAGATCTACAAGTAGTAGGTTGGTGTTCTTCAAATAAAGAATATTTGTAACCAGTTGGACATAAGAAAAATAAAGATAATTTTTTTTTATTGAAAACTTATGGTGCAAACATTTAATTATATATACATAAAAGTATCTAAATATTTAAGCAAATTATACAAGATTCGTACGAGTAAACTGTGTGCTTAGTTGAAAATGTTGAACGACACCCATTACACTTGACGTTTAAATGTTGAACGATTAGATACTAACTAAAACGGTTTAGATACTTTTTGCGAACCACAACCAGACGAACCAAAAACCGAACAGACCAGAACAAACCAGAACAGTTGATTAAAACTTATAAGCATATTTTTACTATTAATTTGTATCTTATTAGTCAAGCGCATCATTCTCACGATTTATTTACACCCTGTTACAAAATGTAAGAACAATGGCAAAATTTAAACATAATAAACAAACAAAAAAAACGTTTTTCATTTACCAAATCCCGGCGTTGTTGCACTTAGTTCTTTTGCGATCCAACAGCCACGAACCACCTTTCGTATCGTATTGGTTTGAGATAGACAAATTTTTGGAGATCCTTAAGTACATATACTATATATAATATTTGGCAAGCCACGCCCACGACGCAAGCGTTCCAACAAAGCCACGCACGAGCACACATCCTCTTCTATCTCATTGGATGCATTGGTAATCGAAACAAAAATAAATTTTGATCAAGCAAATTGTAAGTCTCAACCATCTCAATCGAGCTGCTGCGACAATTTTTCTATCCTATTTTCCAACGGCGTTCTCGAACTGTTTTAAAGCGTGTCCTTTTTGGTATTCCTCGAATTCCCCACAGTATTGGAAGGCGCCCCGCATCCAACGCGCCACCACACTTACCTCGTCCATGTCCCTGCCAGCCGAGTGCCTGGTGCTCTCCGTCTCCATGCCCTCGCTCAACTCGGAAACCAAGCGCCCCAAGAGCGCGGGTCCCAAGAAGAAGCCCGGACAGGCCGTCCACTCAAAGCCCTTCCGCTTGTACTAAGGCCAGCCGCTGGATGATCAACCTCGCAGGATCCTTGGCTGCCCCACATGTTGCACAAGACGTCACCCAATCGAAACACTCGGAGATTTGTTCACAAGTTGAAATCAAGGCACGCACTAAAATCAAAATACATGCATCAAAAATCTGGTCAAATTGTTAATTGTTCAAACCCAAAAAAAACGAAACGTGGCATTTACAAAAGAATAAACAATAAACTGAGAGGCAAAGTTAAGCACAAAATACAGCGGGTGGTTTTCTTTTTTTTAAATAATTACAGTATATATTTTCGTAAGTATTAAATCAGTTTTACGGCTTCTACATCTTGGCAGCCAAATGGCCTTCGTTTTCATTTCATTTACATAAGACTTTGTTAGATTTATAATTATAATTATTACAAAGTGTCCTGGGATTTTGTCGCATCTTAATTGTTACTTTATGCTCATTGTGATTTGGAAAAATGTGTGCTTATCTTGAGTTTTCGTTTTTGATTCTTGTTACTTTCATTATTCGAGTCGCGTCACATATATAAATGCAGATTCCTTGCCTTTTCATTTACATAAACCTTTTGCTATACTTACGCCGTAAATATTGTTTATACAATGCTTTTTCGCTTTAAAGTTAGGGTAATAAATAAGTATAAAATAATAATCAACAGTTGTTACATTTTCAAGAGACATTATGTCTGATGAGCGTCAAGTGATTATGATTATGATTCGAGGGTCGAGTTAGAATAAAAAAATGCATATGCTTAATTATCGTAAATATTGGCTTTCTTCAAGATCTCTTCGTCAAGTGAATTGGTCTTTGTTGATTGGCTTGATAAGCTAGGTTGCTAGGGGACAGGTGTTGCTTTAACTCTTGGCTACATAACTATAATACATGTAATAAGAAATTAGGAAATGCATAGATGCTCGTGATATGCGAAACCAATTTTATGCGAGTTGGCTGCTGCGGCGGCTGCGGTCTTCATAATTTTCTCTGCGCTGCTGTTACTATTAGTACAATACATTCGATTCAATTGACTAGATTTCTACATATGTATCTGCATTAGGTTTACGATTTTTCTGTTGATCTGATTATGGTTTACTATGGTTTTTGTTTCTAGTTTTTGTGGGAGGGAGTCGTGTTTCACAAACCATATAAAAACTCATGCGAAAAACGTCTGTGTTGATGTAACATTTGTTTGGAGTTCTTTTTTTCTTGCTTAGTGCTTCGTAATTTAGGATTCATTTTAAACTTATAAAATAAATATTATGTTCAATGAGTGAAGTTATTTTTTGTTGTGTTTTGTTTGGTCGGTAAGGGCGCTGCGTGAGTTTCTATGTGTACCGGCTAGCTCGCCGACGTACGTGTTGCTTCCGAGGAATCTCTGCCGCCAATATAAGGCCCATAACATTCTACCTTATTTACATAACTAAACACTTTCGCTGGCGTCGCTTAAGTGGCTCTGGTCTGAGTACTGCGCGCACCGCTTCCTCGAACACCTGAAACACAATCCAAGTGACAGAATTAGCGATGAAAGCGCGGTGAGGGTGTGCCCATTGATGACTTACCAGTTTAAGGCCACGCTGCGTCAAGGCGGAGCACTCCATGTATTTCACAGCGCGTATCTTATTCGCCAGCTTCTGGCCTTGTTCGCGCTTCAGAGGCGTCAGGCCCTGCTCGGCGAGGCCGCTTAGTGTCTCGCGATCTTCGCGCAAATCGATTTTAGTGCCTGCCAAAACCACAAAATACATAAATTTCCTCTTCTTAGCATCCGAGAGCTGGCAACTTACCAACTAAAATGATGGGTGCGTCGGGGCAGTGGTGCTTTATCTCTGGATACCATTTCGATGTTACATTCTCAAAGGACGAGGGACTCGCCACACTGTAACATATCAGGAATACGTCGGTCTGAGGGTAGGAAAGGGGTCGCAGGCGGTCGTAGTCTTCCTGGCCCGCCGTATCCCACAGTCCCAACGAGACCTGTATTGTGTCAACTTGCATCGGGGCAGAGTAGTTATCGAAGCTGTTGAGACATGACAAATAGTTAGCTTGCGGTTTCTCTGTAAACTGTCACCAGTACTTACACAGTAGGCACATATTCGCCGGGAAAGCAGTCTGTTGTGTAGGAGATTAGCATGCAGGTCTTTCCGACTGTGCCGTCACCGACGACAACACATTTTATGGGCCTTCCGGTTGACATAGTCGTACGTACTATGTATATATGTATACTTCTGTATCTGTGCGTGAGCTATGGGCAAAAAATAAGAAGACGGAAGATATATCAGAAACTCTTTCCAGTGAATGCGCGCCGGCTTAATTCAATTAATTAAGTTCTACTGGAGGCAATAAACCCAATGGCACCGCCACTCTGACCGCACATTTGTATATAACATACTTTAATTGCCCGAAGGGTCTGGTGCTCGGCGATACAGCACCCGCAACCTGGTCGCCAAATACTAATATATCTCGCTGTGTGATCAAAGGCTGGGCACTCACTCAAAAGGTGTGTCCCCAGCCGCAAAACAACAAAAACAACCAGAGGCGGTGCGGACCATGAAGCATAATAAAACGAGACTCTCATTTCGGTTGCGGCACTTTGTTTTTGGATGTTTTTTTTTTTTGCAAATAAAATTTTCAAAAATAGATCATGATGTGCGACAGACTGGTGGCAAATAATGGGAACACAACGCGGTGGACCAAATGGCAACAGTTGCCCCCGGGGGCCGCTGGAGAGGGACCGGGTGGAATGGGGCGATGCAGTACAGTGTGCGTGGGCGAGGGCGAAGGTGAGGGGAGGCTTTGTGGTGACGCGGAAGCCACCGGCAGACGCACACCAAACAGAAATAGACACAATTAAGTTCTAATAACACTGGGCGAGGGCGCCGCCACAAAAAATGCGGCTGCTGCTGCTGCTGCTGCTGCTACTGGCGATTCAATTAAAGTTCAAGTGAGACATTGCGCCACTTGCAACGGGCGGCGACCGCACTGTAAATCTTTTGTTATGGTTCACCCATTGTTGTGGTGCCAAGGGAGCGGACCACAGTGGAGTAGAGTGGAGTGGAGTGGAGTGGAGTGGAGAATATTGCGTTACCGTTTTCACGGATCCGGATCCTTTGTCTGCTAGGCGGCGACTGTTTTGTACTTTGCTTATATCACTGTGCGTGCTGCTGGGCAGGCTGTATTCTGAAGCGCTGGCACATACGCCCCAGCTAAATAACCGAGTTTCACTAATTCCTTACAGTTTCTAGTTATAAATATACATTTATATAGGCAGCGCAGCGTCTCTAACCGACGTCTTTTTGTGTTTCAATTTTTTGTTTCGACACAAACACACACCCACCTTTTTATGTGAGTGTTGGAAATAAAACGGCCCTTAGGAGTTTTCCAACACGGTCCGAGAACCGTGTTGCACAACGGGCTAATATTTTATTGAAAATTTAAAAAGAATTTATATAAATTTAAGTATATATCTTAATAAAACACCTTAATTTAACAAAAATAAAAATTAAACTCAAAACAATTTTATTAAATTAAGCAGATTTTATCATACATTTTTATTAAAAGTATATTTTGTGAACCCCTATCACATATTCCAGGGGGCGCCCCTGTTTCTGTTGTTGTTTTGGGCGGCGAAATGAGCAGATTTGTTTGTAAACTTTTACAGAGTGTAAACCATATAAAATCGGGACAAAGATCGATTTGTTTAACTGCAGTAAGGAATGTAGAGAGTGGATCCCAGGATGATACTCCAACCCGATCGGTGGTTGTGGAGAAAGACGCGCATATCACACTAATTGGACTAAATCGGGAGCAGAAACGCAATTCCATCGATGCCCAAACGGCGGAACAGCTAACGGATGCCATCGTCCAATTCGAGGCAGACGATACCTCTCCGGTGGGTGTTCTGTATGGCATTGGAGGCTCCTTTTGCGCGGGCTATGATCTGGAAGAGCTGGAGGCGGAGGCGCAGCGTGGCAGTCTCAATTTTCTGTTGCGTCACGAAGGCTCCATTGGTCCCACCAGGCGGCATCTGCGAAAACCTATTGTCTGCGGCATAAGCGGATTCTGCGTGGCTGGTGGCTTGGAACTGGCTCTTCTGTGTGACCTACGAGTGATGGAGGATACGGCGGTCTTGGGATTCTTCAATCGCCGCCTCGGGGTTCCTTTGAGTGACGGTGGAACTGTGCGTCTAGCCGCCGCAGTCGGTTACTCCAATGCTTTGGACATTATTGAGACGGGAAGACGTGTTTACGCCAGAGAGGCACTGAGAATGGGACTGATAAACCGAGTTGTTGCCACTGGCACTGCTCTGGGTCAGGCCGTGAATCTTGCCTTCTCGATAGCAAAGTTCCCAATCGGCTCTCTAATGCACGACCGGAATGCTGTACTGGAAAATGCCAACAATAGACCAGGATTCCATGCTGGAACTTACAACGAGATAATGAATGTCACTTCTGATATGGTCACCGAAATGCAAGCCGGAGTAAAGCGATTCAAGAACTGTAATTATTCTTATCCAGTTGATCCTCAAAAACACCTAATTTAATCTGTCTTTTTTTAGCCGAGGTCAAAGGAGCAAAGGCCGACTCCTGGCACATCAAGGAGAAAACCATTCCAGATTGGGAAAAGGAAGAAATCGAAATTGAAAGAAAACTGAAAAAGACATGACCAACTCTTTAATATAATTACCTCGTTTAATCTCAAGATTAGGTGCAATTATTTTGTTGTTATTTATAAAACGAAAGCCTTTATTCACGTAAAATACATTTATTTAATGATTTATGTAGTTGTCCGCCTAAATCGTTTACGACTCGTGCTTATTTCAATATTCACAACAATTACAATAACGAATTTTTCATTCAAATTAGGCCTACCTACCAAAAAGAGAGTTAAGAGGGAAAGCACAAAGTTCTGTATTCCTTGCTGTCGATCGAGACGACATTCACAATTAGTTTACACATATAAAAAATATGCTAGCACTAAGTAATCGGACTCGCCCTTACTTACGAACAATTCTTTTTTTTGTTATTTGAGTGCGCTGCGCAAAGCTGGTTTGCCGGTTTCGCAATTATATATACTATATGCACGTATGCCTTAGATCCTAGGCGTTAACGAAAGGAGTTATTGCACTTAAGTCGAGTAAAGCGAGAAACGAAGCTCTATGCAAAAAAGGCTGCTCTTGTACAAACTAGTGTTAAAAATCGACTGATCGTTTATCGTGTTATTAGTAGTTTGATTTAAAATACGTCGTACATCGTTTAGGCCTATCATTTACACTCGGCTACACTTAATCCAAAAAATTTGTCATACAAATATTGCACAAAATGGATCGGACTGTGAGTTTGCACACCCATGTGCCTGCACTCGTATTTCATTGTGCCGCACATGGCAAAACCTTCAATCAAGTGGTGGTACGTGTTCACGTTTATAATTACTAAAAATACGGTATTCGGAAACCTAAAGACCACAATACACAATATACAATATATACAAATTAAGAAGCAATTTTCGCTAATGGTTCTTCCCGCCGATGCGTTGGTATAAAAAATATATGTATGGATGCATATTTAGCGTTGGCCAAAAAAGCAAACTCCGGCAATTAGCTGGCGACAGGTTCATCTAGCAATGCGTAACGATAACTATTCACTTGATCCATGTTTACTTTAGTCGCTGTGTGACATTGGCCAGGGCCACGGCAAAGGCCTGGAGGGCGGAGAAGGGATACTGGAAATCCAGGGTATAGGCATTGCCGTCGATGCGTCCAAACTGCATGACCTGATGGATGAAAAAAAGCTTTATTAGACTCTGGGTTAAGGATATGTTTAAAGTAGACAGTCACCTGTTTGCCTCGAAACTCAATTTGAAAGTTCTTGGCCGACTCTTGGGTAACACGACCTCCAAAGTCCAGCTGGTACACCTGACTCATCTCGTTCCACATGGGCGCCTTGTTGTGCATCACAAATTCGCGGCGCACGGGTGCAGGATTGGCGCAACTGGCACTGCCATTTGGTTCTATCTTTCCACGTTTCAACTGCGAGATTATAAATTATTTTAATTTTTTATTCATATTGAGTCTTATTTTTAGTCTCACCTTTTGGCGCAGTTGGGCCTTTTGAAAGGTTTCCAGATCCCTGTACTGCTTTCCGTTACCCGCATTGTTGCTCTCCTCGCCAGAACCATTGGTCTGGTTACCCTCGTCATCGGAACTCTCGATGATGCTCTGTTTTTTCCGCTGGCGACGATTCAGCAGCGGTGAGTTGAGAATGTGCCTAATGGGTGAGTTGCTCTGCTGGCGCTTGTTCTTCTTACTGGCCGCCGGAGAGGCCGGAGAACTACGTGGTAGTCGCTGAGGCGTGGAAGGAGGCGTCAGGCGACCCTCGTCAAGATCTCGAAGTCGGCTTATAATATTTTCCAGGGTAGTAAGGGCCTGTAAGTTATAAAAATTGTAAAATTCTTTGTTGTTATCAAAGGAGTTGCAAATCTTACTTGTGTATGGAGAGACACGGATGCTTTGGCCTCAACAGGCGTGGCTTCCACAGTTCCACAAGCAGCTCCACTGCTTTCCGGCTGCTGCCTCTCCAGCGTACTGCTATTACTGGCACCATTTACTTGGTTCTGAGGCGGATCTTTCCGCCTCCAGCGAACCTCCGATAATTGTTTAACAAAACTAAAGCTATTATCCTGCTTTCGGCCCAGCACAGGAGTGGAGTTCTCCGTGCCAGCCGACTCCTTGTTGCGCCCGTAACCGAAGCGATGTTTCCGAGTAAAAAGCGGGGAGTCGGTGAAGCTGGTGATTACATCGAAGCGTTTCTTGGGCGCCGGCTTGGCCTGGACAGCAGCTGGAGTCTCCTTAGGCGGCTCAATCGATGAGACTGCAGCAGCGGTGATCTCGTCCAGCACAGAACCCGTCGAAGGCTGGCATCGCTTGCAGGCACTGCTGGGATTCATGTTGTTGCGGCACTTGAAGCATAGAGTGTTGGCTGCACTGCTACAGGCACTGCTATCGGAGATCTCTTGCAGCTTGCGCACCACCTGTTCATGGTCCTTGCTGGAGAGCTTCGTCTGGAGGGAGAGAAGGTCGCAAGAGTCTAGACTTTTGGACTTGCCCGTCTGCTGAAGCTTATGGCGGCGGGCATCCTCTTGCTGCTGTTTTTTCCGGCGATTCCGCCTCTTGTCCACCAGAACGAGACGTTTGTTGGGTGCATCCTTTCGCAGGGCGGACAACGCTTCATCGGAGGGTGTGATGGCCACCGAATCCAAGTATCCCACACTGCAACTGCGCGTTATGGAGTCTGGTAGGGCCGGAGCTATCGACACCACAGTGGGCGTTCGCTTCATGCTGTTGCTGCTCGTTGTGGGCGTTGGAGATTGCGTCTCCTCATCGATGTACAGCATATCCTTTCGCTTAGAGGAGGCGGCAGCATTTCCGGCGGAGGTCGAGGAAGAGGAAGGAACCATGCATTTGACACGTGCGTCCATGCGCTCCAGGTTAAGGTTAAGATTAAGCGGCACTGGGTTCACATGGCTGTTTGCCGAACGCACTGGCTCCGACATTAGAGCGTTCTTCACCTGGACCACATTGTTGGCATAGTCCGCATTGCTGGAGTAGGACATTAGAGTGGTCTGCCCAGCGGCTGGCACAGCTGGTCGTTCAAAGATTATATCCGAGGGTGCCACCGCATTCTTTGGACTCTGCAGCGTTGGAACTGCTCCGTCGCAGTAGAGTGGGGAGATGGCATGACGCGATTGGCAGCTGGAATTGGAGCTGGAGCGACTGTAGCTGTTCTTGAAGCTACTGATGGTCTTCGGCCTTGTGATGCTCTTGCTGCTGCAACTAGGGCCTGACCCATTGGAGGGCGCCTGGTGCAGTAAAACTGTGGTAGACTGACAGGCACTTGCCCCAGCTTCCTGCGACTCGTTAGAGGAATCATCATCGTAGCTTTCGGCACGCGCCAATGGACTCAACCCCGGAGAATTACCCACGCCTCGTTCTGAACCATTCACAGTCAGTGAGTTTTTGTGCCGCGCCAGAATTCGGTTTGGCCGCGGTGACATAGGAGCTATCAACGGGGCGGAGGCACCTTCGGTCAGCCGACGTTGGGGCATCATCGGTGGCTTCAGTGCAGCCATTTCCTGAGCCGAAGTCACATTCACCTGCGGCAAAGTCTCGTGATGATTGCCTCCCACTTGATGCTGATGCTGGTGATCGTCCTCGTCCTCGGAAAAGATGTTCGGGTTGAAACTGGGATCTGGACCGGGTGGAAAATCGTCGCGCAGCTCCGTAATGACCAGCGTCATCTGACGCGGCTGCAAATGCAGTAGGGACGTCTTATAAGTTACTTGGCCTAAATTGGCTGGGACGGTTTTGGCAAGTCCGTGGATCTTGAACTTGGTTCCCCAAATGTTGGAGGTCACTTCCACCAGTTTGACTTCCTGCTTGAGAAAACGAAAAGAATCAGTGATGGCGTGGATCTTCTAAACAGAAAAAATGCCACCTACCTCCGGCAGTGTATCCACATAGGCCAGCTCGTCCAGGCTGTCCGGATCGTTCCCTCCTCCAGTGCCAGAAGTGCTCAGCCGATCGCCTGTCTGCTGGCGTCGCTTTGGCCGCACTCGTTTCTTCCGGGGAGTTCTAGGAGAGCTGAAGCGCGACCTCTCGTCATAGTCACTATCCGAGGAGTCTGTGCGGCCACTGTTGCCCGTTGTGGTCGACTGGCTGGATCCCGAAGAGCTCTTGGCCTCGGCGGAGTATTGAAAGTATAAGGGGGTATCTAAAAGAGGAGAGTCTTTTTCAGAGAGGTGTCAGAGGGTTATGAAAATCCTCTTACCATTAACTTGAGGATCAAAGATGACGAATTCGGGTCGTATCTTTGAGGTGCGCTTGCCCTTGAGTAGCGGCACTAACCCACCCAGGTACTCCAGGTAGAGGGTATAGCAAGTACCAGAGCTCAGGTTGGAGTCATCATCATGCCGGATCATGGTGCAGTGCAGCCGGGTCGAACAGAGCGGTGGTCGCGAAACAAAATCACGCAGGGACTTCAGATCAGGTACACAGCACTGAAAAGATAATTAAATTTGTTATTTAATATTGTAAAATAATGTATTAATATTTACTCACTCGTATCGTTTGAGCAAACAGATTGCCAATGAGGGACTTAATTCTAGAAGGCAACGGCAGCAGTGGCAACAGGGACTCGGAGCCCACGCTAGCCTGGATCTCCAGCCGGCACAGGAGCTGCAGGGAGGCTACCCGCCGGGAAACCCAGGCTATGTGCACCTGTGTCCCTGTGGCAATGAACAGCCGCTTGTCGTTGTGGCCCCAGGTGATGGCCGATACGGTCGAACTGGTGCAGGGTATGTGGGCCTGGTACAAACACGTGCCAGTCTCCGTGTAGAATTTCACCAGATTCGTATAGCTGCTGGGCGTGCCCAAGTCCTCGGGTTTGGCACCGTCTAATCCTGTGCGCAGGGTGCCGGCCACGGCCAGCAGCTCCCGGGAGTTGCTCCACTCCATGACCATGCCCAGGGCGCCATTAAGGCAGGTGTTGATATGTGCGGGTGAGACGTCGTCAAACGACTTTAGCAAGTAGATGTAGCCGTTCTGAAAACTAACGGCTAGGACGAAGGAGCGTTTGGCTGAAAGAATACATTCTGATATAGTTTAAAGGAGAATTAATTTTTGGAAAACTCACCCGCATTGGTTACACCCGGTTCCGCCTCCTCGCCTTCCTCCATTTTAAACTTCTCGCAAGACCAGGCCATCGAGGTGATGGGCACATCATTGGACAGTTGTACCTGCGACACCATAGCTCCATGCACATCCATCACGATCACCTGGCCCTGGGTAGTGCCGAAGTACACCTGCTGGTCGTCGGGCGTCCAAATGCCGCAGGTGATTGTCGACTCGAGGTTGAGCATGGAAGACCAGTAACGCTGTCCGGCCACAGATCCCACCAGCACAAACCCATCCTGGTAGCAGATAAGAGCCATTCGGCCATCGTGCGACCAGGAAAAGTGGGTAACCGGGGTGTTCCGATCGTTGATCAGCTCAATGGACCACCTCCCCTCGTACTTGATCCACACAAAGATGATGCCCGAGCTGTCACAGGAGGCCAACTTTTGGTAGGGTTCGTTCCACTTAACCAAAATGACCTAACAAGGACGATAAGTGAAATAAATGTCTGCAATTGAATGTAAAGAATTGAAACTCACATCCGATCTATGGCCTCTCAGATTGTAGTTGGTCCTCAAGGGATAGTCCATGTTCTTGCGGCAATGCGAGGTGGTGAAGGTCACTCCCACAATGCCGCGCACATTGCCCGTGGCCAGCCATCCCTCCTGGTAGTAGTTGGTGCGGTTTAGTTTCCAGCCCTCATCCTGCAAAAAATGGAGAATGGAGAAATGGATAAGTCAGAGATGTCCAAATCCGGCGACAGCTGCTAAGTCCTCGTCAATTGCGAGCCAAGTGCCCTCTGCTGACTTGAAAAATGGATTACTGCATGTTCACAGCCTGAATTGTACGGCCCTGGCCCATTCACAAATTTTCTCATGGACGCTCTTTCCAGCATCGACGGCCCGGAGCCAGCGGCTGGGCAAATATGCTCCACTTTGCAATTGAATCTCCTATTCCTTTGACAGGCTCAACCTGCCAGCTGCCTACTTTACTGCCCGAGGCAGTCATTTGGCTCTCAATCCATTTCAGTTTCCCTTAAATAGCCACTAAAAAGGGTATCTTCACCATGGAGATAATCCTTTAAATTGAAGTCCTCTTGCTGGGAACATTTGAGGTAAGGTTATTATGACTTATCGGACTTTCTAATGGTTTAAGCTTCGACTTTGCTAAGTTAATTTACCTTTAAACTTAAACATCTTTAGGATTTAGCATTTTTACATTTTTAAAAACTTTAATATGGAAGTCTAAATATAATATATTTAATGTACTTCTTATAGTCTAAGGAAAACCAATTCCCTGGCGCTATTTCTTGTATAATGAAAAGCAATCGTTGAATTAAAAGCAATTAAGTCATCCAATTAACATTTCAAAAGGTGCCTTCAGTCATCAGCCAGTCGAGCATTCAATTTGCAACTTTTAACTTGGCTTGTTTGCCAGCCAGCCACCTCCCTGCAAGTGTTCCTTCTTTGGCAGCAACTCTTTGCCATGTTATCAACTGCAGAAGGATTGCTGCAGCTGCACTCAACCGCAGATCCTGCAGTGAGCTCTACTTTGATTGTTTTTCCGACTGGTCCTCCTATTTTCACCACCATCGTCCCTCAATTGATGGTTTTTATTTCTGAACTGGCGGAGAGGTGGAGGCGGCGGCATCGGTGCTCACAATAGCTTAGCCTACATTTCAGCGCTCTGGCGCTTTGACTCGGCCAGCAAAAAAATATTCCAATTTAAACACAAATTCGGGCGTTTCAGCGTTTTGGCTAATCCCCGCTAAGCCAAATGGGCGTTTTCAGGGCCCAAATCCAATAAATTAAAATGCCGCCGTAGCCGCAATGGCAAAAACAGCAAAATTTGTAATTTCCGGCGCGTCCACTGGGCAAGTTAATTGCTTTATTAGCCGGATTGATTGATGTGCATATGCTGATGTCCTTGCGATGATGGCAGCGGAAAATTCAATTATATCATTGGACACATTTCCCCCGACGATGGTCAGTTGTCTGAATATATGTACATACAGTACCTATCCATTTATACATATGAGTATTCCTTCGACAGGCCATTGAATGCCTCACTGCCTCATTATGGCACAATCGAGCACGTTGAGAACGCTCCACTGGCAACAATTATGAACGGCATTCAGCATTTCTTTGTCGAGTGTTATTAACCTTTCGCTGGGCCACTTGAACCGGATGACGTTGCCGGCCTGCCATCCGACTCGTTGGATGCAGCGCCCGTGCTCTTGGCCAAAATAAATGCACTTGAGACACTTGAGCAGTTGGAATTTTGTATTTTCCGATGATTTGCCATCCATGTTTTGTCTTTGTAGTTCTCTAGTTTGCAACAGTTTCATTTAATAAGGCCAAGTTAAAAGCATATTTTCCGAAAAGTATGTTCTTTTCATCCGAAAATGCATTCATTTGGAAAATTTTAAACAAACAACTTCTTGTTTGAGGCTATTTTAAATAACACAACAATTTCCAAAAGATAATAGTTTTAATTGCCAAATTGAGCGTGAAAAATTGAATTTAAAGTGCCTTTAAACGGAATACTGAAATATTACATGGCTACCAATTGGCAATCGAATTAGGCAAAGTTTGCTTTAGGCATTCTAATGTATTAAATTGCCACTGCCATTGGCTAATGCAATTTCCCATAAATACTGTAATTTAATTTTGAACAAAACAACCACAGCAGGAGCAGGAGCAGCAACATCAGTACCGTCAATGTCAGAGCTCCAACACGAAGGCAAAAGGCGTTGACAGCCTCGCACTTTGGCCATGTCTTTTGGCTTGTTACAGGATGCTGCTGCTTATGATGCTGATGCCGCTCGAAATGTTTAAGTGGCTACTTGTGACTTGTTAACCGTTTGACGACGTTGACAACCTGCCAGCACTCGCTTACTAAATTGCCATCCCAGCCCATTCTGGCTGAGGAATGTTTAAATTTTTGGCCCGAATAGTTTGTAATGCAGCTGGCCCAGAACCGAACCAGAAGGCCTATGTGGGATTTGTATCGCAACATCATGCTGCAGTTGCGGTTGCAGCAGAACAGCCTCTGTGGCATGCTACCTCCATAAATTATGTTGCACAAAACAGAATTCTGTTCGCAGTGCTCCATTTCAAATTCCCCTCTATGTACGCGTCCCTTTGAATGTACATGTTTAATTAAAATACCCATTTTTAACGCAGGCACCTGAATTCTCCACCTCTGTTCCCCACCTGGCCGCATCCCCACCTCCCCACCACCATAATTGCAATTCATTATTCATGGCAATGGCAACCCGTGCCGCATTCGCATCCGCTTCATTATCTTCATCAACATGGCCTAATGACCAAAGCCCCGGCTAAATGTACAACTAATGTCAATAAACATTTAAAATATTTAATATTTGGTTTAAGGCTGCACAAGTGGCCAATAGAAAATCAAAATCCTGTTAGAATTAAATGAGAAAAAAGCGAATAAATTTGAAAAGCCACGTTAATGATGTGGAGAGCTCTAAACGAGCAACCAAAGCCAATTAATATTTTATGAATATTGTACGTAATGCCTTAAATGGGTCTTTTCAAAGCTGTTTAAATAAATTAAAAAGAAGTTTAGAACAATTTCAAATAACTTGTGTAAGTCCGCTTAAATTCCTTGTGTAAGTGGAACCTAATTCCAGAAAAACTCTTGAATGAGTGAAGCCACTGTGACAAAGTCAAAGAACTCTTATGCAAAAAAGACCTATTTATATATAGAGGCAAATCTATATACGTATCATTTAGGGCTATTTTTGTGGCTTTTCGTGCCAATTTTAAACAGGCAAACAATTTGCCTGTTGCCAAAGGCAACAATTTGGCGGGGGCATGGCTTTTTTTTGGGGTCGTTGACAAAGAGTTCAAAGATTCGCCTGGAACGCCACGAATCCAATCGGGTCAAGTGCAGAGACAAATAAAAGCAGCCCAGAAACTTGGAAATCACAGAAAGAGAACTACTCAATTGCCCAATTCCTCTCAGCATTCAACCTAAGTATTTTTCTGTGAGATTGCCCGATTTTCTCTTGGGTCGCGAACGAAAGTGAATTTACGGAAAACCGCGACGATCTACGATCCGTCAGCTCTTGGCCAGAACTCAGTTGCCAAAGTTCGTTTGCCGCGGCGCGTTCGAAGATCTCTAGACTCGGGTGGATATTTCTGAAAATGTGCCAAATCCATTAGGAGCTCTCGATATACGCGTATTTTGTCAATACTATTTGCAGTTGAACTAAACACAATACAAGAAAAATGTACACTAAAGTATTTTGCCTGGTTTTCATCGCCTGCCTGGTGTCCCTAAGGAGTGGGGAATGTTTTGAGGCCAAACGCTTTTTCGGAGTGGGAAGTAGGATCCCTGGGGACCAGCTTTTGGTCAAGGATGTGCAACATTCCCGTCCTGCGGGAACTGATGAGCTTCCCCGGGTGGAGTTCCAGTACGAAATTGTGGAGCCAATTACTTGTGTGGAAATTCTATCAGAGGATGTGAGTGTTGAAAAAAAACTACAATATTTTTTAACAAAAAATGAGTTTATTTATAATTGAATAATATTTTTATCCCGCCGGCACTGGCTATGAAAAAACCTGGTTTGTATGGCTTTTTCTGCTGTCATAACTCAATAATGAAATTTTAAACTGAGAAAAAAAACGGATATGATGAATTTGGTGTATTTTTTCTGACCCCTTGTCGCTTGTTATGTTTTTTATTTGTGCTTTATTTTGCACATGCCCGAACCAAAATAGAAACAGAAACTTGCCTTTTTTTTCGTCATAGCAGACGACAACAAGTTTCGACCATAGATGTGATTATTTATATCCAGTGTGTTTGAGGCGGCTGGGTCAGTGTTTACTACATCCCTCATATATTTTTCATGCCATCTATTTGTTTCCTCTCATTTGGATTTCTTTCTTTCAAATATCTTCAAAAATTGATTTAGTTATGTTCTATATTTAAGTAATCGTAAAATTAAGTAAAAGTAATCTAAATGCACATTTATGTAGATTGTATAAGCCAATCGAACAAATTTAAATAGCCTCTAGAAATATTGAAAAATTGTGAAATGTGCAAATTGGAAAATGCCGACAAGTCTCACAAAAAAGGGGCTGAATACAAAAATGAGGCGAAAACGTATATGTTGTTTTGTAGAATATTTTAAAATGCAATTTTCGTATTTCTAAAGACAATTATGACGCGAGATTTTTCCCAGAAAATACACAAAATTCCCCTAAATCAACTTATTCAAAGTGTATATGTTTTAAGTTCATGATTCTGAGACAGCCAGATCGTGTAAACAATTCGGAAATTTTGGCAAATACTGATGGATATTGCCTCAATGGACACGCCTGACTGGGTCCCCTCTGAAATTGGAAGAGAATTCTCATTCACGACCTTCTTTATTTTGGCGTTTTCAGAATATTTCGGCGGAGGTTGAGTTCAGTTTGGTAAACCATCGGATTCTGGGAACGGTTCGAATGGCAGCCAGCAATCAGACTGATAAATACGGCGAACAAGAATTCACCACCCTGCCACCCATAGCCGAATTCGACGTGACCATTATGGTGTTTGGCATAAACGGATCAATACCCAATTATGATTTCTCTCAGATCATAAACAGAGATCAACAGTTTGTAGGCGTATTGACATCTATCGAGTCCATCGAGAGCTTCGATGAGGCAGTTGAACCATTCGACTACAGCCGACGAGATGCCTTGGAGGTTGATGATGAGCACGAAGATGTATCCGCGGAGGAGTTCGAGGAAGATACTGAGGAGCCAATAGCCAGCACAGATAATTTCGATAGTGGTAATGATATAGACATTATTAGAGGAAAACGTCAACGGGGTAAGTTGATTAATAGTAAGCCTTACAATTTGTATTGGAATATTTTTTTTTTTGCAGGCGATCAATTGCTGTATGATTGCTATCAGACCACCAACAATGATTCCAAGGTGCCAACGAACAATTCCCTGATATTTTATTATATTGACACATCCTACATAACCTGTGTGCATTTTACTATTTTCGATGTGAGTAACTAGACTCTATTAATTATCTTTATGAATATTTTGTAAAATATCTCCTTCTTTATAGCACTTTGCTGGACGGAACTACTCCGATACCAATTACTTGCCTCCAGTTATAGAGTTTACTCACCTTTCCCCTGGCACCTTAAAAGCAATCATCACTGACTTTAACTCCTTGAGCCTGTACGTCGTTATGTTCATTTACGGCTACCCGGCCAGCCAAGTTCCTGAAACCTTTGTACCATTCCTGCCGCTGCGCCCGCTACCCGATTGGCAGAAGGCCGGGCTGGACAGGCGTACGCCCATGTGGACGCCAATGCAAAAAATGCAGCTTCTGCTGATGACAGGCCAGATCACCCCGCCGCCCGAGTCCGCCGTCTCTGACAGTGGCGAAAATGACGAAAGTCATCGCACTATCCGGCCGGATGAGATGCTGTTCGAACACTCGGATGTGGCGACAGACGATACGAGCTCGGCACTCCGGCTGGATCAGATGGACAAGGGATTGGGGGCTTTGCTGGGTCTGCTGCTCCTGATCCTTCACAACTAGAAGGACCGGCTGGGGAGGCATTAGTTAATCCATGGAAAGCTTTATGAGTAGTCTTTAGTCCAACATTCTGTGTATTGTATTTTATGAAATAAACTTTTGGCCTAAGCCAAGGCACACACCCTTCCGTTGGTTATCCTTTACTAATCCTTTAGGGGTATATACGACATTTGAAAAGCTATTAATATTCAAACTAAGTAAGGAGCTATAGAGGTTTGTTCATTTAAAATATATTGTCTATTTCTTGGAGCAGTTATCTTTCTGTTTAGGATTTTCCAGCAATTACCGGGTATCTTATAGTCAATAATGACGACTTCAGCCTTCTTACATGCTCCATCTCACACTCTGCAACACAACAAATTGAAAAAGTTGCGGCAAAAGTAGGTCATGGCGCTGGCTTGGCCCCTGACCCGCACCCACAGTTACACTCACACACAACCGACCAACCGCAGGAAAAAAGCCACGCCAAGACCAACACTCTTGCAGGAAGGACTCGCACACACGCAACCCTCGCCCATAAAGCAACTCCCTTGGCAAATTATCTGCGTCGGCGGTGGTTGATTTGGCATTGCAGACAAAAGGAAAAAGTGGAAATCCAACTGACGACAGCAGCGCCCAGCCCCCGCCTGGCAGCAACACCCCCCGGCGCCTACGAGGAAATGTGTTTATTTGCTCGGACATTAAGTCAGACCCAAATGTGTCCTTTGCTTTGGCAATTTATGTTTCTTGTATTCCTTGTATTTTGTTTCAACGCAGCCCGGAAAACGAAGCAAATATAAATGGGAAAAGGCAAATTCCAAATTCCGAATGGAAATTACTCTCCGAGTTCGAGAAGCGAAACATCACGAATCACTGATTTATGACGATGCCTATATACCATATAATCCTTTAAAAATGTAAATTGTTCATTGTAGCCGAAGGCATGGGGATTCTGAAGCACAATACAAAGCACTTGTGTCCGCTGAGCGGTTGTCATAAGAAATCTAATAACTTGTATTTCAATTTCCGGCTATCCATGCTCCGGCTCTCCTGTGGCTCTCCTGCACTGTCATTTCGTCCTTTGTTCCTTGTCGCTGGCAAAAGGAAGGACATGCTGAATATAAAATACAAAATGCTACCTGGAAGTATGCAGCAGCAGCAGGAGCACTAAAAATGTCACTGCCACACAGAAAAAGAGTCTTGCAGAGAACAAGATGAAGCCCAGAGTCCGGACAGAAGGCGGGATAATGGCTCTAGGGGGGCCAGGACGACTGTCCGGCACAAAGGACATGTGTGAGTGAATGACTCTGCCAGAGCTGGAAATGCTAGCAGATTGGACTTTTACCGCAATGGTCTGGGTCTCGAATGTCTGTTTGTTTGTTGCCGTTGCTGCCCCTCGGGGGCACAGCTTTCCCAACAATATTTATGTTTAATTTACAACTGGAATTTAACAATATATATTTGCAACACTTGCACAAGTTCCCACATGGAGCCACGAAACTTTAACAGTTTCGGGAGCCAGCTTGGCAAAATTGAAAATCCTTACGAAAAGTTTTTATGCTCAGACATATAATTCTGGCATTATGCGAGGGTATATACACGCGTAATTGTACATCAAATACACTGAAAGAAATATATTTTATTTTAAATATACAATTTTAAATGATGGCTCCAACAACTTGCCTGGGAAATAACTAGTATAATCTTTAAAATTCAAAAGCTGCTTTACCATAAGGAGGATTTTGTTTGTTTAACATGGATTTAATATACTTTTGTGTGTCTTTATGTTTTTCTTGCAGTATTTGTAAGTGTACTTGTGCGACTAGGCGTGGCATTGTAAACAATAAGGGATAAGAAGCGTACAAGTGTCGTCCGCCGCCAAGTTCCTACCATCCCCTCAAGCCCGCCAGCCAGTTCCAAAGCCCAACCCGATGGGGTGACGTGAGCCTTTGTCAATAACTTAATAACTTAAAATATGGTTTAATGCTCACGTAACAACATTTTGCCACTTGTGCCGAGCACAGGGAGGTGTGAATGGATTGGATGGCTAAAGTGGTGCGGTACTGGGGTGCTGTCTAGAAGGGAAACCCTTTCGGGCGTTTGGTTGCTTAAGGTTGCCTCCCCATCTCATCGAATCCTCCTTCTGCCAAAGCCATAGCAGACAATGCCAATGGCAATGGGATTGGAACAGTGACTTGAACTGGCAATGGCAACGGTTTCTTTGGATTACGTCGGTATAGCCCAGGATATACTCCTGCTATGCCATAGGATATCTGTGTGCGTTTTTCGCCTCCTGGCTGTGCGCACGTGCTCCACCTTTTGATCCTTTTTAATACCAGCCCAAAAAGCGATATCGATTTTTTCTTCTTGTATATTTTTTTTCGTACATGTTTGTTATTTTTTTCAACAGGAGATGGAGAGTCCCTCTTGGGATATAAGTTGCATATGTGTTTCCATTTAAAATAATTAAAATATACGTACAGAGCCCAGTGCAACCTTGGAAAGGATATTCCTTGAAACGAAAGGGGAATTGTATTTTTATATTTATTTAATAGAAAAAAATCTTTTTTCCAACTTTACGTCAGACTTTCTGGATGAAATGTCTGCCTTATGGGCCCGAAACGAGACGTATGTATATAATTCACCATTACCACAATTCGGCGGAGGCAGTCGCTCCAGTGCATCCTTTCTGCTCCGACTGCATAATACATTTTCTCCCTCCGCTCCTTTTTTTCATTTGTATGTTGGGGACAAAACTCAACTCATTAGCGTGTGGCATGGACATGGGCATGGGCACGAGGGAGAGGAAAAGGGAGCAGGAGGAATGTGGAAGCCGATTCCACAATGGGAACACGAGGCGTGGCATGTGGCACATGTCTGGCTCACTGGTTTCTGCATTTGAATTTGCATTTTATTAAATTTCAAAAGCTCTTCTCACATGTCCCCACAAACAGCATTCAGCACCTCCCCCCAGCCATTTGAGGACTCACCTGAAGGGGGTATTGTTAGACAGGTGGGTGTGAGTGTGGGCGGTGCCAAGTGCTGCCAAAAGAGGGCGGCTGCTGGTGGGTGGTGCCGAGTGCAAAGGTTGAACATTGCATATTTATGCACTTAATAACGCATTTTAGCATGCTCAAGTGCAACTCATCTTTTGTTACATATCCTGGGGCAGGATCAGGGGGAAGGGCCAGGGGAATGAGTGAAACTTGAGCGAGACAAAGCGAAATGAGTTGGAGTTGGAGAAACATCGCCCAAATGCATTCTGTGTGAGCTGACAAATGGAGCATGAGAGCAGCTGACATGGGTTCTCGTATTTCTTGGATGCCCTCAGCAAAACTAAAGAGGATTCCATGTCCCAAAAAATATCCAAAGCCAAAGATATTACATTCCAAATGGATTTCACAAAGAAACAGGAAATTACAATCTTTATTTCAATGTTGAAATGAAAAGGTAGAATCTTTGTCTTTGAAAATTAAATTCCTCTTGGAGGCAAGAAGAGAACCTCCAACACCCAAATCCGAATGAAATCCCCAAGATTCAAAATCAACTCTGGATTCTGCATTCCTGGCGAACCATTCCGATGCCAGTCATGGATTATGCAACAACAATGCCAGCTTCGTTGCATAATTGATTGATTGAATCCGTATGCAACAATTCAAGAGCGATGGTTAGCCATAGAGTGGCTCGGACTGTGTGTTTTGTGGGCGTTGGGCTGTGGCATGTGTTTGTCTTGGTCTTTCTGTCCTAGCTAGGCTATTGTTGGTGGCAAGTGGCAAATGGAAAGTGGCAAGAGAAACACAGAACACAAAAACCCCAGCTACTGGCCGACCAGCTCCATGGAAGACTGCTAGAATTAAACAAACAAACAAACCGACCGACGAAATGCTGGACAAACCAATCAATGACACAACTGAAAGCCACAACGTCACCCAAGTGTGAAGACCCAAGTGGGAATGATTGAACAGTTGTGCACCCAGAAAAAAAATTAAACCACCTCTTATGTAATGGGTATATTGGCATTAAAGCTATAGGTTTTTGGCCCTTTTTATATTTTTAAATTCCGTTTCAAAAGCTATTTCAATCCGCTGACTGAAAGTCAAGTGTTGGGGGTTTTTTCCTTGGTGTTTCGTAAATCTTATCTCGAATCTAAACTTGCCACTTAAAACTTTCTTTTCGTGTAACTTGCAGTCATCACTACTTTGTTCTGTGTGGCAGCCATGTGGGCACATTAAATTACAGTTTTCCGAGCCAAGAACAAACAAACGAAAGTGCAGGACCTCTCAAAGGATGTGGCGGTCACCCCAGACCGATTGTTTGCAGTCGCATGGCACAAAAGGCCTGCCGGTCTGGCGCCAATCGGGCCAGGCAGCTCCTCGAGCCGGAGCCACGTCCTTGGCCAGGGTGCGGCTTCTAATTGAAACTGTCAGCGACAGAGCCGGGCCGTAAATCAGTGCCGGCCATAGAGCGCTTAGCCGAGTCTGTTTCTGTTTCGAGATGTTGCCGCTGCTGCCTAAACAATTAAAAAGTTTTCAATTAACTCGCAGCTACGAAATTGGCACTTGTAATCGGCAGCTGTTCAACAAGCGTAACAAACAGAGGCCTCCGGATGTTTTTTGGAGATTTCCGGGGAAGCAGCGGCCCTTCTGTTTAAATAAGCTTAGATTGCCGACGGCCCGGCTCGGCTTGAAAAGGGGGTGTGGCAGGATGGCAGCACTACCACAAGCGAGCACGTAATACATTTATTACGCGTGAGCACGCAGCCTCCCTGTCCGTGTGCCTATTTCTGTGAGCTTGTGTGGGTGTGTGTGTGTAAATGAGTTTTCAACATTTCGTTGCATACTTTCGGGGTAGTAAAAAGTTTAGCTTTAAAGAGCAAACTTCGAACAAATCCCGTTCCATGTACTGAACAAAAAAATGTTATCAAGATTCAAGGGTGAGAAATATTATGGTCTGGAAATAGCTTTCTTCTGTAAATTATCTCGCTAATTAGGATTCCATATTTATTAAGGGATTTGGAACAAAATTGAAGATACCTTTTGAAATTTAAGGTTTGCGAAAAAAACTTAAAGACCCTTTAAAATAGTCTATAAGACTATCCAATCTAAGCTCAGAAAACTATTTTTTTTTATAGAAATGAAGGTA